ACAATCGGAAGAATTTCTAATAACGCATGTCAGACCTGATATCACTCAGAGCCAGAACCATGCACAGGGCTCTGCTGGCTTGCTGGGACCGCTGCAGAAGTTGCTTCTTCAGGGGGATGGCCAGCAAAAATCAAAGGACACTGCTTCAACAACGCCAGTGCAACTGCCAGCACGACTGCGCTTTCAGCCGGAGCAGGAGCTCATCTAAGTCAAACCAAAAGACAAAACTGACATGCAAACACAATCATGGAAAATCTGTAAGGTTTCTTTTGGTAAGCCTTCCCTTCCCTTCGCTCTCAGTCATGCGTACCTGTCATTTGCCCTGAACCAGCTCTGGCATGCCCTCATTGCACAGCAAGCTGAATCAGTTCACAAAAATGGAGGGGGAAACACTGTTGTGATTTTTTTTGAACCAAGCTGAATTGGCAGGTATTTCCATCCAACAAAAACACATCTGGCACAATGCAGGATGGCAGGAGCAAGGAAACGGAGGAGGAGGAATTGAGAAGGGTGATGAGACAGGATAACACCTAAAGGATGAGATGGTGACAAACTGTTAATTCAGCTCAGCTATATCATGAAACCATACCCTCAGTATCTTAGGAAATCTAAACTAATTTCTTTTATGAATAAAGCTGCCTCGGATCACAAAGCCAAGTGAAGCACCTGACTCCATTTTGCCTTTTATGCAATGGGGATAATAGGTATCAGTATCATCTGCTGCCTTTAATTTTAATACATCTTTACAAAAGGATGCTTCAAGAGCAAAGTAAAGTATTACAATTAAAAGAACACAAGCAATCAAACCAAATAACCTTCAACCAGAAAGAAAAGCCCCTCCTTTCTAGATAAACTGAAATACTTCAACTAATGGATTATTCATGTTGTCTAGAGCACAATCTATAGTTATTTTAATTTTTGGATAAAGCATATACTTAAAAAAGCCAACAATACTCAGGCCCTCCCTCCCATCAGGCTTTAGTGGCACTTAACAAGAGTGCCTTAAAATGGGTGTATTGCCATCGATCCTGCTGCTGATCTCAGATCATTCTTCAGTAACAATTTGCCTGAAAGAAAAGATAAACTTCAGCTGCAACATACGATTAGAGAAGCACAAATAACTTAAAGAAAAAAGACAGACAAGATGACAGTTTCATTAGAAGAAGAAAAAAAAACCCTAAGGGGATTTTCAATTTCATAGTTCTAATGAGAGGGGTTGAAAAAGAGGTAAAGCAGAGGAAAAGAAAATCTTTAGGACAAGATGTAATGCAGAACAACACGAATCTGAACCAGCAACAGACTTTCAAGTTTAACCTCAGGTTTGAACAGAAAGGACTGCTGAAGTCTTAGCTCTATTCCCAAAGGAGGGTAAAGCCACACGACATCACCGCTCACAAAACTCAGCATATTTCACGAGTAGGAGGCTCAAGAAGAGAACAGGTCAAGGTTGATATCACTAGCGCAGCAGTGAGAGGGAGCTTGCACTGCAGTTGTCTGAACCACACCTAGTCTGAAGTTAAATATAGAACTTCACTTTCTGGAACTATTGCTCCTCTTCACCTTCAGAACATAAATATTCGGAGCAATATTTGGGGAGAAAAAAAAAAGAAGAAAAGCAGAGAGAGGGAGAACAAGACCTTCTGGATCTATTGTCCGAAATCTAAGCCCAGCGAGTAATAAACTGCCCTGGGAGAACTTCCAAAAGAGCAGTAAAGACTGGAGAATTGAATTACAGAGACCGCAAGCACTATTCTGGAAATCCAGTGTAAACCAATTAGTTTCTTTAATACACATACCCCACAAAAAGACACTTAGGCACATCAGATACTTCAATATATGTGCTGGCCTAACTGTGATCTTAATTATGATATTGCTGCCAACATGATATAATTAATTGCGTTGGAATTATTGTGGATTTGCGTTTTGAAAAGTCCTCGCCTTTCTTATTCAGTACATGGGACAAATCCTGACTTGTTCAGCGCATTTTTGGTTGGGGAGCACTTGTCATTTTTACCATCAAATTCAGATTGTTTCCTTGAAGTGCTCTCAGCTTTGATACACTGACTTTCAGCAACCGCATTTCATCCCAACCGACTCTAAGTCAATAGCACATACCACAATTAACTCACACAGCAGCCCAAGACTTTGATCCTCACCAAAGCCTGTTTTGCTGCTTCACAGCAACATTTCAAAAGCGTACAAGAAAAAGTAGCTTTGCATCGCCTACACAAGAGTTCCCATTAATGTCTAGATTCAGCCCTCTTATCATTAGGCACTGAAATAAATCACTGAAGCAGGTCTTGTTGCAGAAGAGACCTCTCTTGTATCTAGGAGAAAGGTGCAGGACTCGTCATGAGCTGCATCAGTGTGATGGAATTGCCTTCTGGATCCCTACTTCTCATTGCTGACTAGCCAGAAAGCCCAAGTGAACAAACACTTTACAGAGAGACCCAAAAAAGCAGCTCAAAACGAGGTGCCTAAATCCCTGCATGCACCAACAGCACATTAAGATGCTGCAGGACATACAAATGCAGCATAATGAAACATGCATTTAATTAAGGAATATGGCCCATTAAAGTGAGTAAGATGCCTTCGCTCACAGTCAAAACTTAATCCTTGAGAGGAAAATGCAAATTCCAGCTGAATGGCCCCGGTCCACACTCAATGCCAAACACTGGTTTGTGGGCCAAATGACGATTCCTGACCCTACAGCATCAAGCAAACCTGATATGCTTGGGTGAGACAGCTGGAATCTGGTTACCCTCATGCTGGCTGGTGCTTTGAGTCACCTTACTGAAGAGCCTGGAGGACTTTGGTGACTTGGAAGTGAAGTTAGTCAGCCTCTTCATAGGGCTCCCAAGTGAGTGTTTTTTTTCCATCATTTCAAACTTGTCACATAAAACATCTTTAAGCTCAGCTAAGCCCATGAGCATCTAGCAGTTAAACAACCATATTACAAACTTGTCTTTGTTTTACTGCCATACAAAGCTTTTACCACAGTTAGTTCACTGTATTCTTGCCTCTAGGTAAAAACTCTTGGCCATGCTTTCCAGTACCCCTACATAACATTGTGAAATTCAGTGTTTGTAGGGACCCAGCAAGGGTTTTGCAAATTATTTTTAAAGCCAGGATGAAGGGAACATGGGAGAAGCCTCCATTTAATTAACCAAAAAACAATAAAACCCCTGCAGAAGAGACCTTACAGAGAGCAAAACAAGACGCAGTGAACAAAACCAAGAGTGGCTAAAAGAAGAAAGAGAGTAATACAAAATTAGATCAGGTGATTACATATCTGCATACAGTACCTGATGATTTCCAATGTCAGTGCTGACTTGCTTCCTTCAGTATACAAAAGGAAACCTTTCTAACAGATGTATATCAAACCACTGCAGCTCATCTGACTTCAGTGACAGTGTCACAGCAGAGACTGGATTTAGGAGAGGAGGAGTGGAGGAGGAAAGAACTTCCTTAACCATCTCCTTCTGCTCCGATTCCAGAGCACCTCGTGTAAGGGAGCCTAAAGCACTATCATAATGCAAACACCAAATAATAGTCGGCAGGAAAACACCCACGGCCAAGATAGCTGTAATTCCACCTCAAAGCAAGCAAATATTTTACACACAAGTTAACAAGAGGATGGCATGGCCTTAAAGGTACACAGAGCTGTAATGTTTCTGTAATCCTTTACATGGCAATCAGGACAGCCATACAAGCATTTTGAAGTACCAGACATTGTTCCCACACTGCAGAGGGGGACACATCAGGTAAATGCCAACCCCTCTGCTATCAGGACATTACACTAGATGGGTGTAGCAAAGCAGAATAGATTTTAAACATTTACATTATTTTCTTAGGGGAAGTATTCAGACAAAGCTGTGCAGTACGGTGCCAGCACAGAATACAGAAACAGTTACTGGCCTCAGCCCTGCAAAGCTGCTGTGACGGCCTGCAGCCTCACCCACAGATGTTCAGCTCAGTATTTTGGTATTAGGTAAGGCAGATGTAGACACCCTCCTGATTCCAATCAGTTCCAAAGACCCTCCTGCAAATAAGAGGAAGGAGCAGCAGTAAAGACATGGCAGAAGCACATCCTAAAAATCCAACGGCCAAGGATTCAATGGATTTGCAAACTAAGGTGGAATGTAGTGTGTAAAGAACATCATCCAGTGCTTTCATGTAAAGGAGGTTCTTTATGCTCCTGGAGAGAAGAAAAGTCCTCCCAGTCATTTAGCCTTTATCAGAATTTAACATTCATCCCTAAACTATGTTTGAGTTCAGTAGACCTTCATTATTATACGATGTTACCCATAAAAGAGAGATTATTGTAAGGAAAGGGAAGGGAAAAGCACATAGGCAGCAAGGAGACCTGGCTCAGAGAGTGCTTCGTCTCTGCAGGAGTGAAGAGTAGGGAGCTCTAATGATCACCTACCACTCTGCATATGTATTTGAAATATCCACTTTGCTCTGTACTGTTCCCAGTTCACGTAAAAAGGTTGTAAGAGCCTTTTTGGATAGGAAATCTATTGCTTGTTAAGGCAAAGTTCTGCATCCTGTACAATTACAGTGCTGCTGAAATGCCAGTATCAAATGTAAAATAACTTGAAACATTACGAGACTAAACCAGGAAAGTGGGAAGGAGAAATGTAGAGTATAAAGAGTGTGCAGAACTCTACCGAGAGAGGCAGGACCAGATTGGATGGAAAGGTTTCTGCAAAAGAAAAGCATGAACTGAATGAACACCAATGCTCTCACAGTGAGCAATGGGAAAGACTCCTTAGCAGCTACAAAATATAATAGTGTCCAGAGGAGTACAGCACTTTTTAAAAACAAAAACAAGAGAAGGGCTGCAATAGCTCCTACTACTCTATTATGTGGAATTACAGTTAACACTTATTGGCATGTGCCATTCTGAAGTACACCCATGAAAACGAAGCTAGCAGGAAAAAAGGATATTTGCATTGGCTTTAAGTGCCCCTCTCCAGAGCCCCCAAATGACATACCTTTCCATAACAGCCAGGCATTCCTTTCTCCATGTGAACCGACTGCCTCGCCGTAGTCTGAAGGTCCCAGAGGTAGCTGTGACTGGGGGAGGTGTCTGTCTCCATTCTGGCTCTTCTATTGGGATGGGAGCTGGTCGCATGCTTAACGTAGCCCCTAGGGATAATAAACACTGCGTTTCCTAGTGGACTAAAAATCATGCCCATTTCCTCACTCCTGCTTGTGGAAAAAAAGACAAGACAGATGATGAAACCATTCAAACTAAATAGTAAAGCATCATCAAAAAAAGACACCTTGAGGACATACAAAGCTAGCTAGAGTTCCCATTCCCAGCCAGAGAAGTACCAGGTACCCACAGAAATCTAAGGATGACATAACTGAGCTTGTTGCCTTTGTTGAAGCCACTCTGGAAATGCTGCCTTGTCTTCATCAAGTGTCATAAAGAAGGGAGGAGCTGTGCCACAACTGATCTTTATTTAGGCTGTGCTGCTACCACTTCAGCCACAAAATGGGAAATAATAATCAATTGTACAGCAGTCTCAGAAAGCACAGTGTAAGTTTATACCCCAAGATATTCTGACATGGCTGAAGAGCCAAGGAAACACTTGAAATTGCTCCACAGATAGAAGCACACGCAGTGACCTGCGCAAACATGGGCCCCTGGGTGCCAGGCTGACTGCAGAAGCCACTGAAAGCAGATTAGTATCACATCTTTCCACTTCGGCCCCCCATCTATGGATATATTTCTCCTTTCAAGAAGCCTGAGCTGGAAAGCATCAAGAGAGAGATGGGACCTGGCACAGTGCCTTTAGGAAAAGCCCTTTGAAACTTACCCGAATCCTTGCACAACAGCCTCTCAGTTAATAAATCAAGATAAATCAAAACACAGAGACCAATCTTTCATATAGCCCTGGGTTAGGGGCATTTCTATGTGAAACAGGGGATGCTCTGAGAGACTTGTGCTCAGCAGCTACCCCTGGAGGGAATGAAGAAAGAGCTGCTCTTACATGGAAAAAATACATATATAAATCACATGAAAAGCTAAATCATCACCCATATCCCACAAGCACCCTAAGCACAAATGGATTTCACGCATTCTAAAAGCCTGGTGTTTTTTTTCCCCCCCAAGAGTAGCAAGTGGCATCGCTCACACGAGGAGTGTGCTACTATGTGCATGTAAAAGCAGGGCTGGGACAGGAGAGGCCTCTGGGTCTTGCTCAGATTGCTCAGAACTGTTAGGATTTTATCACAGAACCGTACAGTTTCAGTAAAACAACACCTCTCATTTATTCTGTAATACAGTTAAAGGGGTTAAGGGAACTTAGAGTTTTCCAATAAGCAAATTCCTACAGTAAAAACCAAGGAATTAGCTATTTATGCATTTGGCTGTGCTGCTTTGCAGAAATGCCCAATGCCTATTTTCCTTACTGGCACAGGAAGCAGAGCCCACAAACGCTTACAGACTTTTCCTACAGGAAGTGAACCCCACCACCTCTGCCCTGTGTGTACAAGGACAGTGATTCCTGCCAATTCCCAATTACTTCATTTTATTGACACATGAAATGTTTCCTATGTTGCCAACTCTTGTGGAGGCCATTGCAAGGAGAGTTCCTTATCTACTCTCTAATCCTTGCACGATTTGAGGGCTGGGTCAGTATCAGGTTGCTAGGCTTTAAATACTTCTCGACAATTAAAATATAAATATTATTCATTCATTTAAAAGAGTCTGGGGAGAATGGGACAAGGAATTAGCTCTCCCTGCACTGCCTTAGCAATGTATTGTCCCCACCTAAGGATTTCATTTGTATGTTCTTAAGAAAAAGGGGGAATATGGAAATATCACTGATGCCTAACAGAAAGAGATGCAGAGCAATTACATCAGATTTTGCAGACAAAGGCTGAAAAAACATCAGGGTTTAAAGCATGAGTTTACTTCTGCTGCTGCCATGTTCACTTACTGAATTTTTATTTACTTTTTTTTTGTTTGTTCAGTAGCCTTCCCATCAATTTACCTATTAATTTACCCATTTCTCTTTTCTACAAGATAACATCAATATCAGCTGCTGATATGGGAGAAGCATGCTGTGCATTACAAGCAAGTACACAACCCCTGTTTTTGCACACGAAGAGAGACAGAAGCACCTGAATGCATGCAGAGGCACAAGATGTGCTGGGATCTATCTGTCAGAGTGAAAGTGGTGGATACGAGCACTGCTGCTGCATTTGGTAAGACAACTTGAGCTTTGTTTCATGTCCTGCAATTAAGTGAGCACTTTGGGATCCCATTTATTCTGCTCTTCCAAAGTTTCATTGCAATCTTCTCTCAGACCAGCTTCACTTCTTTGCAACTTATTTTCCATCCCAGCTGCCATTTCAGACTCTTTTCACAAGCTCCTCAAACAGCTTCTAAGAAGTGAAGCTTCTCTCTTCTGCAGAACAAGCAGAGCAAATGTAAGAAATTTCTGTCTTGGTACATGCATCAAAAAGCAAGAACCTGTAAGTGGTGTAGAGGTGAATCAACTGGGAAGAACTCCTCTCAGGGAGAAAAAGGAAAAGTGCCATCCCACTACTTGCACTTCTTGCAGCAACACAGAGCTACCTCTATACTGAAAGCTTCTCATGGCAAAGGCCTTCCTTCTCTCTGCATGTCCCAAACACTACTCTGAAGGAAGAGAGCTGCACTTAAAAGCATCACATGCAATTGCTGATCCACATCCCATCTCTCACAGAGGCTCTGCAGTACAAGAGTGATGCACAGAATGGCTGGATCCAGCCTCAGGGCATCTCCCAGCTCCAAGAAATCATTTACCAGCAAGTCTCTGCAACAAGTACCTACTGTACATTACACTGATAAGAAGAGATGTCATGCTTCATTTTTAGCCAGACTGACCTGAGAGCACATAATAAACACCTTCCAGTTACTCCTGAGCCAAACTAAATTTGAATCAGCAGCCTGCACACCAAAACATTCCTTACAGGACTCATTGCTTGGCTGGGAAGGATCAGAGCAGGACTGCTGAAGCTCTGTAAAACAGTAAATCACCAACAGTGCATTTTGAGTATGAATCCCATGGGATATCCAGCCTCTGTTGTTTCGGTTGGGTGTTTGGTTGTTCAGTTTGCTTTCGTATGTTTTTCAGATATAGCTGAAGAAGAACTGCTATGGGATAACACAAGAGAGATTACATCCTGGTAATAACTACCTTTCTTTTTCCCTTTTGCTCAAGAAGGAAAAGCACAAGATGACCACAGCTACCTTCCTGTTACAGAGGACTAGCTGAAAGAAAGCATGCAGGCTAACTGGAGGCAGTCTGTAACCATCTGCAACTCCAACACACTATTTCTAGGAGACAGCTTCAGGTTACAGGGCACAGAGGCAAAAGAAATGCTCAAGTTGCTCCATAACAAGCCTTCCACATTGCTCAAGACCCAGTGCCAGCCAAACTAATCAAGCTAACTATCAGCATAAAAAGAAGTATTTATTTATTTAAAAGCCAGGGGCTCTAAAAAAAATAATCAGAACATTACAGGACTCAATGCACTCATACACTAGCTTCTGAAACATATATTATTTATCTGCTGCCAAAATGCTCGTGGCCCTCTACAAAACACAAGAGATGTGGTGCCTGTCCAAAAAACTCCATATCTAAATGGAAAGTATCCCTATTAATTGGTTTAAAGTCCTTTCAAACACCAGTATTTAGCATTGACTTCTTCCCCTCAACAAAAAACTGCCTTTCACCCTAATTGGCAACTGCTTCCAGAAGAAATTACAGTCACTAATACATTGGAGTTTGCAGCTATGCTATTAAGTTTGACATTACTCATACCAGGAAAACATTGATCAAGAAGTCAAGAAGTTTTTAAGTAAGATTATTGCCTACAGCAGAAAGGCTTTTTTTGTGATCTCTGAACATTTACAGCATTCGTATCTGCTGTTGCCTGAACAATGCTCTTTAATATATTCAACAGTGGGATTGAGTGCACTCTCAGCAAGTTTGCAGATGACAGCACGCTGTGTGGTACAGTCAATATGCCCAAGGGATGGGATGCCATGCAAAGAGATCTAGACAAGCTGAGCAGTGGGCCCAGGTGAACCTCATGAGGTTCAATAAATCCAAGTGTAAGGTTCTGCACCTGGATCATAGCAACTCCCACTGTCAGGACAAGCTGGGGGACATAAAGGATAGAGCACAGCCATGTAGAAGGACTGGTGGATGGCAAGCTGGACATGAGCCAGCAGTGTGCCCTTGCAGCCCAGAAAACCAGCTGTATCCAGGGCTGCATCCTAACAAGGGTGGCCAGCATGGGCAGCAGCTGATCTGTGCTGGTGAGGCCTCACCTGGAGCACTGCATTCAGTTGTGGAATCTTCAGTACATGGAGCTGCTGGAGTGCATCCAGAGAAGGGCCACAAAAACGATGGGCCTGAACAGCTCTCCTATGAGGACAGGTTGAGAGCTGGGGCTGTCAGTCTGGAGAAGAGAAGGCTTCAGGGAGACCTGAGAGTGGCCTTGTCTCTAAAGGTGGTTCATAAGAACGAAGGGCAGCCTCTTCAGCATGGTTTGTTGTGATAGGACAAGGGGAAACTGTTTCAAACTAAAAGAGGTGGGATTTAGACTGGATATAAGGAAGAAGCTTTTTACAATACGAGAGGTGGCCCCGTCCTTAGAGATATTCAAGGCCAGGATGGACCATCCTCTTAACATCCTGATCAAACTATAGGTGTCCCTGTTCACTGCAGCAGATTTTGACTAGATGACTTTTAAGGATCCCTTCCAACTCAGAATATCCCATGATTCTATGAACTGCCACCAAAGACAGAAGTACAGTAACTATCCATGCAAACAAGCAATCAGAAGCAAGAAATCAACAGGCAGCATATTCAAGAGGCCAAAGCAAACTGCCAAGTAAAAAGTGATGGAATTGCTGAGTCTCTTCGGCACAGGAGTAACATCTAGCCATGTCTCAAAATCACCCTGATGCTCCACAACACAAATTTCTCAGGTTAGCAGATGCAAGATTACCTGTGGATGATTTAAAGTATTATGTACTACTGTCACGTACTTGAAAAATGAAAATGATGCATTAACAAGTTATTTTCTGTTTCTTGTATCTTTTGAAATTCCTGGCTGGGTGCAGTATATGAGTGAAGTGCATGACAGTCCCTTTTGTGAGGGACTATAGGGAAGGCAAACAACTCATGCCTTGGGAACAATCTCATCTTTACCTGGTAAGTGGGACTTAGGAGCAAAGGCAAAATCACTTGCTAAAAGCTGTACAGAAAACTAGCAGAGCCAAGGAAAGACTGCAAGTCTGCCAAGTGTTCTCTAGTCCTTCCCCCAGAAAGCAGCTTTTCTTTCTTTATAGTTCACAAACTGATTGTATTGGGTGCCCTGGGTGTTTCAAAACTGTTTCAATTGTAAGTGAAAATTATCTTCCTTTTACTACACTAATGAATTCAATCAGAAAACGAACTTAAGTTTGGAGACCCCCAGCATTAAACACAAGGATTAAAGAACTGATAAACCAAACGTTCCAAAGACCTCCTTTTGCCCACTGGTAACTCAAACACAAACGTGCTCCTGTGCAGAGGGACCCAAATCTATGCCTCAAAGAAGAAGGTCCAAGATTTTGTTCTCAGTAGCTGCAGTCATTAAAAAAATGAGATAACAGAAAGCCAATTTTCACTTCTTCATAAGACAACAAATAGAAAAAAAGTTCATGCCACTCATTTAATGACTTCAGTTTTTATCAGAGGAGGGCACTCTTTTGCCAAGAGTGAGTAGGACTGCTGTGACCACTTCTGTACAAATATGGCAATTATTTTCTCCTTTTCAGGTTCTAATGAAAGCAGCTGAACGGTCTGGGAATTACAGGATACTGTATCAGCGTCCAAACTTCAGCTCCAAATTGGTTCTATTAATAGCAATTTAAATCCAGGATGCTTCGGACAAGGTTGGTTATCTTCCCTAATAAACTGTATACACTTGCACATATGCATGGTAATTATCTCTTGCCCGACCAGCCTGACCTGCAATCTAGTAGATGGCAATAATAGAAATAAGTGGACGATCCCAAAATAAACAAATACAATCACATTTTCCTCAAGCAGGCTTTTCCAACAGCCACAGGAAAACTAAGCTTCCCCACCCCTTACCTCAACCTCTAAAAATAAAACAAACGTTATCTGGTTCTGAAGGGAATTTAAATGCAGCCAAATAGTCTCCTGGCATAGGCAGAGGAGGCATTTTGCCTTTTACACTTCTTGAAAATGCTGCACAAGATCTCTTATTTGAAAACAAGGTAAAATGCAAACAACCACTCTTAAATTTTCCCATGTGCGTATAAAGAAAAGCGAACAAGAACTGAGCAACACTGTGCACTAGTAACACAGAAGCTAACATCAATTCAATTACATTTAAGCTACACTTCTCTAGCCTGAAAGGACAAAAAGATGTAAGCTTGTGGATAAAAAGAGAGAAGGAAGTGTGAGTGCCAAGTTTGACAGCTCTTATCCTGGTACAGAATACCAGAATACTATTTCCTAAACAGCTCCAAATGATACTGGAAAGAAAAGATGCAAGGACAGAAAAATCCATGCGATAGTTTTCACTGCTAGAGGCATTTATTTCTTCATTATTTTCTTCTCTTTAAATGCACCTTCCAAAAAAGCTATGGCTTTCTCTGCTATTTTGAAGGTAATATCTCCCCTAAAAGGGAAATAAGTGGCTGAGAGTTGCTTCGCATGGTACAACATGAGGCTTCCAAAGAAGCTGGTAGCAAAAGGCTGCATTCAATACCTTTGCTGACCCTGGGTATCACAACTCCAAATACTATGAAGAATCAAGGCCGCTTAGGGATCCCTGCAGCCTGTTAGAACCTCAAACCCTTGGCACATTCATTCCTTAAAACAGCTTTTAGATGCTTAATAGAAAGGACAGGCTCGACAACAGCTTCAATCTCACCCAACTTTAAGCTAAAATATTCTCAGGTCAGTTGACAGCCAGGGCCTCCTGATTTACAGCTTACACACGAAGAAAAAGTGTTGAGAATCTGTTTTTGTTGAAATTCTTTTCAGTAGAATTTTGGATGTTCAAGTTCATATTCGAGAGGCTACATCTTAAATTTCTTAAACAATTACACGGTTAATTTAATCATGCCAAATTAAATGAATAAAAAAGCAATTAAACGTAAATATTTTGATCTTTCCAATAAGACCATTGAAGGGAAAGTAAAAACCGTAGTCAAACAAAATCCATAGAGAAAAACAACACAAGGAAATGCATTTAACTGTGATTTTGAAGATTATTTGTTAAAGACAATGAAGAGCTTTATTTCTCATTATATATTAAAGATCTATTTCGAGATTTGAAGAAGGAGGTGGAATTTGAGAGAGACATCTCCATTTAATCACTGTAACTATCCACACATCTCATCCGTGAGCTTCAGCTACAACTCAAAACCTCTGAAGTTATCCCAGCTAAGATGTACACATCTGCTCTAACTTCATATTACAGCCACTATTAGTGGTTTCTCCTTGTTCACTTTGAAGAGCCTCAACATCTATTTTATGTCATCTGATGATAACTCCACAGAGTGCACTTCTCATTCCCGGAGCTAGCCAGGGATGGGAGGACAGGGCAAGTAACCACAACCAAGAAGCTGGACAGGCCGCTATGGGTGAGTCGGTCCTACATCTGTTGCTGCAAACAAAACACAGACCAATTCCTAAGAAACCAGTCAGAGGAAATACCTCATCAGTATACCACCAAGTGAATGACCAGTGATAATCCAAACCAGTGACAAAAGGCTTTTTTCATACATCAAATGGTAGGAGATGTTTAGGCTAGATGCGTTTACCAGGATTTGTCTTCTCAAGCTGGTACCATCTGTAAAATGCCCTTTTCTTTTGTTCACTCAAGTCTGACCCCTGCTGCAAAAGCCAATGTGAGATCCGGCTCTGACTGATACCTGCAGAAAACAAAAAAAGAGAGAAAGAAGAACAGAAAACTTGTTCTTTTAAAATATTTTAACTGGTTTATATACTAATAAAAGGTGTTGTCTTACAAAGCCTGGAAATTTGCTGCTAATATTTCAACCACAGAAAACAGAGGGAGTTCAAGCCTCCTCCCCTATCCCTAGCTGCTTTACCTTCTTGTTATTTGCAGCCTTACTCAAGATACATCCTGGGATCAGCACAGTCGGTCTACAAAGCAAGAAGAGCACACACTGGGAAGCCAAATCTACTACTCTCTCAATTGTCCCATTCTGAACCACAGCTTCCTTGGTTCTTAAATTTCTCCATCTGTGAAACAGGAACAAGTCCCTTACCCACCATCATATATAGGAGATGATACTTTGGAGATCATTATCATTCAAGGCTTGAATAAAAAGGGAGATAAACACAGAAACACTTTATGTGATATAGATCAAATCACCCCAGAAATGCAGCAAGCCAGCTATCAGCTGCTGTAACAACAGCAAGGAAACAAAACAGAAAGAGCAGCTGCCTGTCAGCAAAGCAAAGCAGGACTCAGGCCCTACATACCCAGCAAGGATTAGGGACAGAAAGACTTCTAAGAAAATAGTAAAAGGCAAAAAAAAACCCTGGAAATTGATACTGTTATTTCCAAAACGTGACAATGAATGGAGGATCAGCGCAGAAAGGGAAAAGCAGTCATTAGGAGGAAGAGGTTTAACGGTGCAGTAGGAGGGAAACTAAAAATAACAAAACCAACTTGGTGAAGGACTGTGGCAGTAACTGCTGGTAGGATTCCTTGTGCTCTCCGGCTGTCAGGAAGGGTTAACAGCACAGAGACTGTCCCAGGAATTCAGCTTTCAGGAGGTGCTCCAAGTCACAGCACACTGCTGCACTCCACCTGTGCAACACCTGCTTGGTGATAATGCTCAGGCAGGTAGAAAGCTGGCTTTCACACAGAAATCCAACCACCTCTCCCCTCATGAGATGCATGCAGGTTTTAGAAGATCTCATACTTAACTCATGAAAACAACCCCCTGCAGTTTTATCACTTCTAATAAGGGGTTTTTATTATGCTTCCTTTGTACTGAACGTGGAATTGAGCTGACTTCAGAATGATTTAACTCAGATCGTAGGTGTTGTATTCGAGCACATTTAGTCCAATCAGTTTTTCAAAATCTCAGGGCTTACTCTCTCAACCATTCTTTATTAGACTGAAGCCCTGAGCCTGTAGAGTTTAAATTGCCCTGTGGAAGAGGGATAGGTTTGTCTTATTTTGAGTACAGAAGCTTACTGCCATTCAACAGAACTCTGTGGTTTGGTTTGGTTTCCTGTACATCTACTGATGATCTTAACACCCGAGTCCATGCCCTGTGTCTGAAAGAGCTCTGAAACAACTGGCATGGTCAAAAGCTGATTATCCCCAGAGCACATGTTAGGTATATAACTGAGTTTATACTAGCTGAGAAGTGGAATTGCTCAACCTAACACAAACTAATATTCTAGCAATTAGCTATGGAAACACATATGCCAATACAACAAAATAAATTAGTATCAATTGGTGAAGTTCTCTGGCCCAAAATGTAATCTAGATGCCTGATTGTCATGTAAGGGACCAAGTTTTGAAAATTTGCAGCTTTCCATTTTCTGTTATGATTTATAAAAGCCATTTCCTTAACACAGTGCTGTGGGGCACAAATGGTTGTGTCTCACTGCTTCTGGATGCATGGCTCCTATTAATCAATGGGTTGAAGCGCCATTAATTTCCTTGTTTACCACAGTCCACTTACACTTATTGCAATGAATCAGTGTCTGTTGGATGTTTGCAAAACAACATAAGGCATAAGATAAAAATTATAAATTGAGATTATCTTCAGTAAGAGCGGTGGAAAAATCCAAATTCTACCCCAGAGGTTCTGTGACACTGCCATGAGGTGGTACAGATATGAGCCACTTCAGGCAAAGCAAAGGAGCAGGAGCCAAACGATTCAAGCTGTGCATGGCTGTGCACACATTTGACTCCTTGTGAGTGCTCTCATGAAGTCATTTCTGTAAAAAGGGCTTTGTACAGGACATTGAGATGTATAAATTCAAAGCCTGCACTATAAATTCTCAATACATTATTGACTATGGTATCTCACTGATGGCACTGCAGTCCATAGCATTTCTTGCATTAGTGAAAAGCTCATAGCCAATTTTGTTCTTTGGCCAGGAGACTTCTATAGCGATGCTGCAAACCCAGATCACGTGCATGAAGTGTGGCTTAGGCAGCAGATCTTACTTCTGTTCATAGGAATGCAGACCATTCCAAGTCACTTCACACACCATTTTCTATCAGTCTTTTCTGGTTTTATTTATTTATTCTCTTTCCCTTTTTCATAGACAGAATGAAAGCTGAGCTCCTTAAAGGTTCCCTCTACCTACAGCACTCCCAGAATCATAGAATCACTCAAGTTGGGAAAGTCCTTAAAGATCATTGAGTTTAATCACAACCTAACCATCCTACCCTAAATCTAACAGCCCTCCTCTAAATCATGTCCCTGAGCACCACATCCAAATGGATTTTAAACACATCCAGGGATGGTGACTCAACCACCTCCCTGGGCAGCCCATTGCAGTGCTTCACAACCCTTTCTGTAAAGAAGTGTTTCCTGATATCCAGCCTAAACTTACCCTGGCACAACTTGAGGCCATTCCCCTCGTCCTGTCACCTGTCACCAGTGCGAAGAGACCAGCCCCGCTCTGCTGTAAGCACCTTTCAGGTATTGGAAGAGAGCAGTAATGCCTCCCCTCAGCCTCCTTTTCCCCAGACTGAACAGCCCCACTTCCTTCAGTCTCTCCTCACAGGCCATATTCTCCAAGCCCTTCACCAGCCTTGCTGCCCCTCTTTGGACCTGCTGCAGCACCTCACTGTCCTTTCTGTCCTGAGTGCCCAAAACTGAACACAGCACTCGAGGTGAGGCCTCACCAATGCTGAGTACAGGGCAGGATCACTTCCCCAGTCCTGCTCACCACTCCATCCTGCTCCAAGCCAGGATGCCATTGGCCTTCTTGGCCACTGGGCACACTGCTGGCTCATACTCAGCCGACTGCCCATCTGCACACCAAGGTCCTTTTCCATCAGGCAGCTTTCCAGCCACTCCTCCCCAAGCCTGTAGGGTTGCCTGGAGTCGTTGTGACCAAAATGCAGGACCCGGCACTTGGCCCTACTGAAACTCACACAGTTTACCTTGGCCCAATCAATCCAGCCTATCCAGGTCCCTCTATAGTGCCCTTCTCCCCTCAGGCAGATCAACACTCCCTCCCAACTTGGTGTCATCTGCAAACTTACTGAGGATGCTCTCAATCCCCTCATCAAGATCAATAATAAAGATGTCAAATAGAAGCGGCCCCAGTACCGAGCCCAGGGGGACCCTGCTCATGGCCGGCCACCATTGGATTTAACTCCATTGACTACAACTCTTTGGGCCTGGCCATCCAGCCAGCATTTCACCCAGCAGAGCGTACACCCATCCAAACCATGGGCTGAGACATATATGTATATAAGTATTATATGTAAGACCCCGTTCCTGGAGGTGTTCAAGGCCAGGTTGGATGGGGCCCTGGGCAGCCTGGTCTAGTATTAGATATGGAGGTTGGTGGCCCTGCCTGTGGCGTAGGGGTTGGAGATCCACGATCCTTGAGATCTCCCTTCCAACCCAAGCCATTCAGTGATTCTGTGCTATTTTCCATGTATTCATCAGTTCAGTTTAGAGGCTCTAGAATCATACATGCCAATTCAAGGTCACATGCAAAGTCGATAACAGAAGAACTGATTCAGATTGTCTTCTAGATCTTAGCACAGTGTTTTAATCACAAACCCATCCTTCACCCCTTTCAATTAAAAGAAGTCACATTAGAATTTCTTGCATCTCAAATAGATTTTGCACAGTTGACTCATAGGACAGTGACTAGTACAACCACCAGCGCCATCCTGTCACATAGGCTGTAATCACGCTACTTTAGGAAATTGCACTGGCAGGAAAAAAGAAATCATCCTGCTGCCAGAAGCAGATTAATGAAAGAAGATCTCTGGAGTACTGAAAATCCAGCTGTCTGGAGGAAATTCACCCTCAAAGTGAACCATGGACCTCAACGAAGACTGACATCCTCTGGGCTCAGGATCAGCAGGTACAAGAACACTCTGTAATGAGCACAACTAGCTCACTCACTGCAAAGAGTAAAGGAAAACTGGTAATCACAAAGGATTACAGCAAATCAGATGATGATCTCTTGCGTCACACATCACTCCTTCCCACAGCAGGTTACAATTCATAATTATAAACTAAATGGAGATGACAGTACAAGCTTGCTCCTCTGGGCATGCCCGTTATCTCCTAAACAAATCATACATGAAAGACTTTTTCCTTACATATAATTAAAAGGAATGGCTAAATGTGCTATTCAGAGAAGGCAATTGATACCTGCAGTACAAATCCACCAGCAACCCTCACAACTGCTATTCATTAAGTCTTTAAGTAACTGTTTTTCACCTTCACGTACAGATTTGTTCAGTGACTCTACTTTGCATTTCTTTAATGTTTCTTTCAGGAGAGATTTTTAGAAGCACCTGGAATACATCAGATTTGGAAAGGCAATAACTGGCAGCATCTTAATTCTCCTGTTTGAGAGCAAAATCCTACATTCATATAGCACATGCTTGCAAAGGACATGTACCAATTGAAGAGATTAGCCAATGCTTCTTTGCAGAGATCAAAATCATAAAAAACCAAATCTTTCCATGAGTTTTCAGGAGAAAATGCTAGTTTCACCTCCGATGATCAGTAATTTTCTGAGTTTTCTTCACACTGAACTAGTTCAATCACATTTGGTCTGTATTTGTGATTTGCTCGGCACCCCTGAGCGTAGGTTCCAAGCTTTAGGAGATGTTAGAGGCTGCTCTCCACTGCATTAGGTGCTCTGCGGATTTAGCACAACACAAAGCGGAGTCCTGGGGATCTCACATCAATTAAGACAGAGACAGAAGGACAAGGCTGAATCATACACACAGAATAATCAGGAAGGTCAGCAGAACCACGCACTGGAAAGCTCTATTTGTGGTACATTTTTCAAAAAAACAAACAACAAAAAAACACCTGACCTCTGCATTTATCATTATTTATTATTATTTTTCACACGTGATGGCTTGGTTTTTATGGCACTAATCTAAGGACTGAGAACTGTGAATTCAAATTCCTGCTCTACCACTGACTGCTTCCACTGTGACCTCAGGAAAGTACAGATTTCTGTTCCTTCATTCCTCTCTCTGTAAAAAATGGAAAAGTCAACACTTCCAAAGCTTGCAGAGGCATCATCCATCAAAGCATTTGGGTTGGCTGCAAAGGGCCCATCTATGAGTACTCCTCCCTCTGTCCTTTGCTGTGGTACGCAACAGAAAGGTGTCAGTTTCTGAACACATTTCCCCCATTCTCCACCTACATTTGGAGAACACATCAAGAGACAGCATCTCCAAACAAGCGTTTGACTTCCTACTTTGTGCCCACAAACCGTTCCGGTGATAACTAAAACAAATTGCACTACATGACTTCAAATTACTGTTTGTAAAAATCTGGCACCTCACCTGCCACATGTAGGGCTAAATCCCTACCCCAAGTGAGCTGCAGCTATGTTAAAAGGAGCTTCAAAAAACAAGATAGGAAATTCAGCAGGAACTATTATTAGCTCCTGTTTATACTGTCATTTTTCTTATCGGTAGGAGATTATTTATACAGAGCCCAACCCAAGTGCTTCTTGTTTATCTTATTACAGACACCATTAAAAAAGTTTCTATAAAAAGCAGCTCCTGTATTTAGGACCAGCACTAATAAGTGTTATGCTAAGTTTTTGCTTCTTATCAATCATTTCTTTATTTCCAAGTCACCATTTAATATCCTGATGTTACTATTTTCCGATCTGCTCTCTTTTCTCAGTACACAAGGCAGCCCTGTAGAATGTCTTCCAGGTTTAATTTTCCTTGTCAGATTCATTATCTAAATGACTTGAGAAGTTTCTGGTAATTTTATAAAGACTAAGAGAGCCTAAAAAATTGTTCTACTGCAACAGCTGACTTTAACCTTCAGCTCTGCGTCTCCCTCTTACAAATCCTTGGCCTCCTTCACTTCCCACCCCCTCTCAATGCAGCACAAGAAAAACAAAAGGAGCAGCAGTTTACCATTGCAGTGGCTGCAATTGAAAGCCTGCTCAGTAGTAGCCCTCAGTAGTAAGACTGTGGTTGATATAGGAATGCATAACCTGTAAGTGCACTGCAATACTTGAATTGAGATGAGAAAAAGAAAGGTTTTTTTCAAGAATTCACAAAATCAGTCAAAAGTGAAGTCTGAAATTGCAGAAGTTGCATTGGAGGTTCCTGCTCCAAGAATAGAAAGATGACAAGATAGAATGGGGACAAATAGGATTGTAAGCACAGGGTAAGCAATTCAGCAGCTCTATTTCATGACCTGCAATTCAAAGCTATACAAATACACTGTTTTAACAAATGCTTATCACTTACGTGTCCAATTAAGACAATATCATACCCAGTAAGAATGAAGAAAAAGTAAGGTTTCAGTTTCCTAGCTTGAGGTCTAATACCACTAAACAGTTACTCCTTTCTTTCTCCCCTCCCATTACACAGATAAGCAGAATTTAAAATAGCATAGGAATAGGTAGAGACTGAAGGGAGTAAGACCACAGCACAGGCAGCTGGGTCAAACAGCTCCTCCTGGACAGAGCCAGCCGTGGATTTTTCATTTCATTTGTTTCTTGCCTTTCTTCTCAAGGCAGAAGTGATGAATGACAAAAGCTGAGGCCGTAGTATTCTGCATTTATTTCAAGTGCCAAACAAATGATTTCCAGCTGATGGAGGGTGGTAGCGGCTGGGGAAGTCAAATACACCCAACATCTGAATTGCAGCTATGTTTGTATTTAAATGAATGGTGATGAATGATGCCTGGGGCTGGGAAGGAGTCCAATCACCCAGACTGAGCAGCATTCTGAAGAGGTATCACTTCCTAGAGTCCTTCCCTATGTCATCTGTTAGTGGCCACTCTCTGAATTTTATCTATTGAATTTATCTATTTTTCTCTTATTTACTGAATAATTAGCAAAACAGCTTTACCAGTAAGACTAAGTCTGTAAACACTGAGATGGGACCATATGTATGGATATGGTCCTAATATTTGGAACCATATATTCTGCAAAGCATCGTGCTAGCCTGCCCAAATTCCTTTTCTGAAGAACCAAAAGGGGTTTCCAAACCTTCCTTGGGAGACTGCATCACAGCTGAACTGAGGAAGGATGATGGATACATCTGAAGAACACAAAAGTCAACTAGCATTCACCAGGTCTAAGACCAGTCTGGAAATGAGAGCCCTGGGATACATGCTTTCCATTCTGGTTCTCTGTCCTGAGATATTTTCAGCCACCCTTCACTGTTTCGTGCCTTTGAAAGGAAGCTGATGTTTCCCCCGTTAGTGCTGAGTACACACTTTAATCCAGTCCCTTCAATCTCCTTGAGACTATTCCTTTCAGATAAGCCATAACTAAGTACTTAACAGCAGCACGTAAGTGCTACACATCTGCATACACAAGGCTAAGGGTTACTTTTAAAATGAACCAGCTCCTAATGACCTTCCTAGTAAGACCAGGAAGAAAACACTGCTCAGCTGCAAAGGGCAGCAGGAGGAAGGTCTGTGCGTCGTAACACAGCACAGGCCTTACAGCTATCTTTGCTTAAGAAAGTGCATCAAGTTCAAAATATCACTTTATTTTCTTATTTGAAAGGTCCATTGGTCAGCTGCAAAAAAATATAGCCGTTCAGCCTTTAGAGCTACCTGGGGTGCCATTGATTTCATGTGAAAACAAGACGATAGTGCCGTTAGGTCAATCTCTGTTCTGTCTGGCAGGACAAGACATCGAGCAATAGCAAAGAGTGCAGGATGAGGATGGAAGGATCAACGTGACCAGGAGTGAAGAGATCCATCTTGACTTTGCTACAGCCTGCCTGGGTACTGAGATATGCACCGAGATGTAGGCAAACAGGTCAGTTCCCTTTAGTGATACAGACTACCTTAGATCTGGCATGGAAATTCTTCTTCAACTGCATGCAATAGTCTAACTGACAAAAAAAAGTGCTGCTTTGTTTTGGAAATATTATCCTGCCACATTTTTTTTTTCCTCTTTAAAACACCTCTATTGAAGGAGGGTAAGTTTGACTTACTCAGGCTCAGAGGCTCTGTTCTGGAGTCAGGAATTTTTCTGTTGCTTGCCCTCATAATAAACTATACAGGAGGTTAATATAGAAATAAGCCATTCCAAGGCCATATTCAGGCAAGTACTTCACAGAGGTATGGGACTGACCCACAAACTGCCCACAGTTCAGGTCCAATTCAACTAAGAAGACTCAGCATTACTAATGCTAACATCTGGTAAGGCTAGTACCATTCCTTAGAGTGATACAAAACGTTAATTTTGTACAAGTAATTTGCCCAAGATCACAGATGTGGAAGGAATTCCTGACTCCATGGCTCCAGTACCCATTTCTGCCTGCCTACCTCAACTGCTAGCACACACAGTGTCTGCAAACCCAGATCTCCCAGGCAGATGGGTCCTCATGACATTTCAAACGCTGGAAATATCATAAAAGAACAACTTCCCTCCTGTTGGTTTGGCATTCCTCGTCAGCAAGGAACCTTAAAAAGGATCCATTCCAACATCTTTAATCCAGCTTGGTTTTAAAAATGAATAGATGTGACAGATATAATACGGGATTGATCTGTTTATTTATAAAGTAGAACTGATAACACACAAATAGAATAAGTGGTATCAATGCTTACTTGTCCTGAACGCAAAAGAGAGAATGTAAAAGGCAAGGGGTTAAAACAGACCAAAAAACCCAGAACACCCTACTACTCCTTCTAGTAAAATCTAAGCTGAAATAGTCATCCCTCGATCTCACAACTCACTTTCACTGCTTGTGGAGACAAGCAATTGAAAAACTTCAAAACTATCACAAAACGAATGCTGGATGGAGTGATATCAGTTATAGCTGTGTCTCCAGATTTCTCATATGCATTTTATAATACAAATATGTATTATTCATATCTCTATACACAGAGATGCAGATATGTATCTATTTACTACATTCAACAAACAATTTAGGAATTAAGGAAAATGGTTTCATTTTAAAGATAAAAACTTTGGGCTTATTATAATGCTGTAAAATAAAATCTGCTAGCACAAGCCACAAGAAAAAAGGAAAAAAAGAACAAGTGATTCACTGGGGAAGTTCCATGATGTGCGGGACAATGGGTCTTAAATCAAAGGCATACATTATCATGACTAAGCTGACAGATCTGCACTGCAATGCAGAAAGCCAAGCAATATTCCAACATCTGCACCATGCACACGTAAGGCAGTTAAGACACGGTTTCCCAAAATGAAGAAGGGACTCTCCCAGCTCTTACCTGTTACCTGTGCAACAACTGCTTGGGAAATCCTCCGATTGGCTAGGAAGGCTTTGATTTCCTCCTTTATCACACTGCTGTCCCTCCTACCAAAACAAAAAACAAGAGCACAAAAAAAGAGAAAAAAAACCCAGACAGGCAGACCAAAGTGCACTTTGAAGATGGAAAATGGCTTCATTTCCTTTATTTAGGGGACAAGGAGTGGGGAAGGCAGGCATTAAAACAGTCAAAGTGCCTCACCGGTGGACACTTCTTTTAACTAGTGTCACGTTTGATCAAAGTACCCAAGCAGGAGAATGGATGGCTCACGTCCTATATAATTCATATTAGGTGCAGGGCTGCCATATGGAATGTGCAAAGTTTCATTACACAGGGATGAATAAATCTCTCATACCAGCATAAAATCCTCCGTCATAAAAATAAGGCACAAAAATAAAAAATAAAGGATAGCAGGGTGTGTGTGGTTAGCTGCACAGCTGAATACATACACACACACGTCCTGCAGCTATTCAAGGGAAAGATCCAAAGGAAAAAAGATTTTGCAACCTCCACCCCTCCGCTGTTACTTCCCCAGCCTATGGCTTGCACTGAATGAAAAGCATCATTGCTTTGTATGATTTTCAAAAGGTAGTATCATAGAATGGCTTAGGTTGGAAGGGATCTTAAAGATTATCAGGCTCCAACCCCCCCTGCTATGGGTACTAAGGTATACTAAGATAATTCAGTAGGCACTGTGCTTAAAAGGTCAATAATTTGGGGGTTACCTAAGGATTGGGATACACAGCAAATTTCAACTACTGAAAATACACTTTTTCTTCTTTTTCCTCCTCTCTTCCCTGAAAGGTGCAGAGAAGTAAAACCAATCTTTATTAGGCCTTATTATTTAGTAATCTCTCTTCCCCTTCTCCTGTCCTGCCTCAGCAGCTCTCAAGGCAGACAGTCCTTCAAAATGGAAAATAAATGCCATGTTGTGCGTTCATTTTTACTTCCATATTCAATTACCTTCCATATGCTGGAAAATAAACGTAACTTCAGTTTACTTGAGACTCATAGGAACCAAAAACTCCAAGGAACGGTTAAAACTTCAGCCATGGCCAACTCCTGCATACTGCTATATTCACCACCTTCCTGCATTATTCCATTACCCTGCAGCTGACAGTAAACGAGGCTGATTGGCTTTTCCTACTGCTCATCTCTAGTATTCTCCAGCCGCACTTTTACCCTAAATCTCCAAACTTATTTCCATTCTGGAGATTATGGATCCTAGTTCTCCCTCCCATAGGTACTTCTGATTTGTTGCAGCTTCAAGGAAAAAAATTCCAACATTGTAACTAAAATAGTTTTGAGATTTTTTGCCCTTTCCCTGTGTTTCTTTTTGCTGTCATTTGCTGTCAAGCCCACTGACTCAGTCTTTCATCTTGAGCTGAATAATCCCCTCTTTTAATCTTTGCCATAACGCTGAAAAGGAAGCAGCTAAAAGTAAAGGAAGGTCAATCTAGAAAACAAAGACACAACAAAATAAAATAAAAACAAGAACAAAAACCAACTAGCCCTCATTAAAGACTTCTGTTCCTTTTTTTTGTTGTTTTGTTTTCCTGCACCAATCTGCAGACTGTGCAAATCCAAGAGGGAGTCAGCCCCTGCCACAAACTATAAACAGATAACATACATGCACTGCAGATCACCGTGGAAAGCATTAACCAAGCAGCTTCCCTACTCTGCCTATATATGGAAGGAAACTCAACTGGTACACATTAGTGGAAGAAGACTCACGTGAACTGAGACTCAGTCAGAAATCTTCTAAATAAGAGTAGGGTGGAAATTCGGTGAATAAGCATGAATTTCAGTCTTTGGTACAGCATGGAAAAAAGTGTTTCAGCAGTAAAACAGCCTCTGGTATATCTGCACATGGGATTGTCTACACATGACTGAGAGTCAGGTGAGCGGTACTGAGATACTGACCACCAAGAAACTAGCAGGGGAATAGCTGTCAAGAAAGCAACTCCTGCTTTTTTGGTAACACCTGTCACTACCAAGGTAGTCCCACAGGAGGAATCTGCATGCTGAAGGACTTTTCACCCTGCCTTTCCAAACCTACAAAGACTTCTACTGACCTCATCAGTTCCTCCACTTTGTCATCAATGTCCAAGTCTTCTTCGGAAGCTTCAAAACTGTAGGACCTTTGAGCCAAGCTGTTTGCTAGCGGGTAACGGGTGGGTGACATCTTCCCATTGAATGCAGACAACCTCTCGTTACTCTCCCTCCCGTTCTGATTAGTAGTGCAAGGCTGTGGGGAGGTGTCATAACTGTTGCTTGGGGATGGGGACATCCCAGAATGCTGGGTCTGTGTTGAAGCCGTGGCTGTCGAGGAAGATGCTGGGACGTTGTTGGTGCTGTTGCTGTAGGAACCACCTCCGTAGCTAGATCTTCTTCCAAATTTGTCACTATGCTCTTGATCAAGACGATCCAAGGTTTCCAGCGCATGGAGGATTTCATGTCTGGTCATTCCCGTACGTCTCAGGCGCTGAAGCAAGTCTATCTGCTCTATGGTAAATCTTGGTTCGTCTGTGTAGTGAGACATGGTTTCCAGCAGGCTGAAAACAAGGTGAGATGGAAAAGCAAATACTTCAGTTCAACGCTTCTCTGTGATACATGGAAAATACCTCGCAGGAGAAAAAACCAATTGTAGTCCGACACTTTAACCACACTTATGACAGAGATGGCAACCCAATGGTCCACCTCCAATCAAGTTCAGCATTTAGCCTCTCATGAACAGTACTCTTGCTACTTGGCAGAAAGGCTCATCTTTGCAAACTTTTCAGAAAGCATTTCTCTCTCCTTCTTTTACTGCTTCTACAATGAACCAGCAGTTACTACTCTTTTGTTCCTGATAAACCTCTATTACAGAAGGAGGATGGCTGTTCAGTAATTCACACCAAATTTTCCTCACTGCCAACTCCAAACAGAAACTCTGGATTCCCAAACTGACCAGTTCATTCAAGGCCAGAGGTAGAGTTTTTGTGGAGAACTTTTAACCAGTTATGACATGACATTTATGAAACACAGCTCTTTCGAATCTGCAGTACAAAGGGTTCAAGTTGCCCTAACTTTCTGTTGCTGCCTTGAAAAAAGAAGATAAAAACATACCTAGCGGAAATTCTAGTGGCCTGTGGAACCAAAGCTGATTTGACTGAAGTCTGATTTCTGAAGTTACCAACTTTTGAACCTGGAATGTTGTCACAGATTGCCTGCCCTAAGAAGGAAAGTGCAGCACATCCAATTACTACAAGCTTTCATTTAAAGAAACTTCTGCTGCTTTCTTCCCTCCAAAGACAGGCTTCTGGTGCAACTCCATCAACATGGTGGCTCATCAAAAGCTTTTTTTTTTACTACTAAGCTTCCAAAGGTATCAGAACAATGACTGTCCTATGAATTTGCTGCAAAGACAAGAAATGGAACTGGTAAAAGCACAGTGAGCTTCCCCTAATTGCTTTTCCTTCCTAAGTCTCCTTACAGCAGAGCCAAATGGCATACAAATGACAAGATCGCTCCTTCAGAACTCAGGATCTTGAGAATGGACAGCAGATGGAGGGCAGAGAGAACTTGGGAAAGAGATCAGGGTATTTTTGAACCTTTTTGTGGATCTTCTCAAAGAGTCAAGGGTTTTTACTATGCCTGCAGGACAACATGGTAAAAAAATCACTCAAACTCCATGACATGTGGCAGAGCTAATTGTAGAATCCCTACAAACAAGAGCAGATGAAAAGTCAGGCAAGAATTACAGAAACCCTATGAAAACCAAAAGAGGAATAACAGCCTTTGGGATTACAGTAGGCTTTGCAGGGATTTCCTTCAGGTACACGCATCATAGAAACCTAAACAAAGCCAGTAGGTTTTGGGGGTATGGTGATAAAATCTATCCAAACTTGAAACATCTCACAACACAGATCTGACTAGGTAAGGAAATGGATAAGGTGTATCCTCAAGTCAAAGCACATAGCTCTATCAATACTTGTAACAATGAACAGTGCCAAGGGAGAAGCACTCAGTACCCACACAGTTATCCACGAGATCATTATATTGCTCTGTTTTTGCAATTTTGCTCCAACACAGCTACTGCAGTCCTGACCAATTTGCAGGCATTATACAGGACTTTGCATAGACCAGAAACCACAAGCAAGGAGTTTGGATACAGCTACGCACTTTTCAAGGCTAGTCCTGTAGCATGGATGTGGTCCAGTGGCCTTAGGACTGAAGAGCAGCCCTGGGAATTGCTCTGCTTAGTTGAGCTGTAGTTGGAGTGTAGCTACAGACAAGGCATACAAAACCAACATGCATACACCCATGAAAATAGCACATGCAGACTGGAAAGAAGCTCCTATCTTTGTCTTCCCATAGCAAATACTGAACCCCTTTTAACATTAGAAATGTGTATGCAGGAAAAGAAAGCAGGAGGACAATGCAAGGGGATGACGCCCATCCAAGAAAACGACCGTGTGAAAAGACAGACTACATTCAGATGAGTGCTTCAGTCCAACAGGAATGCTCCGTCCTTTGGGACAATTAATTACTGAAACTGTAAATGCCATTTTCAATTTTAAAAGACAAGCACCTAGACTATTCTACTAAGAAGAGGGCACAGCAGCCAGTGCAGCAGTAGTCTGCAGTCGGACTGCAGCAATAGTCTGACAGGAATTGTAGCAACTAAAATCTGGAAATTGCACTGTGCTTTGAGCTGTTCTGGGCTTGACAAGGAGCATCCGGAAACAGACACTGTGTTCTACATTTGCCCTTTGTATTTAGGGAAGCAGAGATGCTCAGCCCTTTTGTCCAAACTTCGTAGTGAATGCCACACTGCCTTACTGACTCACGTCACCAACTCCTGTGCAGTAAGAAAACTCCCCATGTCAGCTCTAAGTAGCATGTTTTTCAAATAGGAAAATCTCTTATCAAACATCTGGCCTTGAGGTTGCTTTCCCTAGATGTGCCAGCTCACCCCTCATTAAAGATAAACCCACCTTTGTCATTTCTTACCTGTACTTCTAACATCGCGTTCCCTGAATCATTTACCTATCAACACCGTGTCCTCAGGTACTTTACTGAACTGGAGGATTTAATGCACCCGAGACCCCACCTCCACTCAAAATTCCTCCTCCACTGACTCTTCGAGACTTAATACTAAAACATACTTCAGTTTATCTAGGTTCAACTTCAGTTTGTCACGGACCCAGAAGCACAAAACTTTTGCTCTTCTAGCCCCAAGAACCAAAAAACTGATCTGACAAAAGCACAAGATGGCTTCAAAAAAGCCAAGTAATATCAAGAACCTAACATTCCCTGCAGAAGCTTGTGGACAGTCATTGCCTTTAAAATTTGAGTGTGATCACTAATTTATCTAAAATGTTAGGGCTCAGCTTCTAGACATGGGTTATATGCAAGATAAATATTTTGCTTTCAGCAGTACAAGGCTGTATGTGGAAAGTGATGTGGCTTCCAGTTTGTCCAACACTGGTGCAGAGAGGATTCACTGTTCATGCATGGTGATGCACACAGGGATGCACGGGCTGCTGAACAAGGCCATTCTGCACCACATATTCAGTGACATCCAACATATGTGGCCCACAGATACTGTTAATCTCTGGACTGCTCCTGAAACAGCTGCAGAAAGGAACTGAAGAACAGCAAATGAGCTGCCAGATTAAATCCATTATTCTGTAGCTAACAGTCACTGCTAAAGATGTCCACGCAAGGTATTCTTCTAGCCCTCCAACCTACACAACTTCTACACTACATAACTTTTCAACACTTAGGAAAGAAAACAAACCAAAGCCATCCACAGCATCTCATTGATCTCACCAGTGTCACATACAGAGAGAAACTCCCGTGCTTATAGCTGCAAACACAGCACATACCGTGTCTGACACAGGTACTGGTCTTCAACTCTCATTCACATTTCCATGTGCTTTTCTACATAATCATAAGGTTTAGAAAAAATGCTTCTGAGTCAGCTTTGTGTATTGAGAACAACTTCAGGAACTGGGAATTTTCCATTAAAAACACAAAACAAACATTGCAAAACTTCGTATTACTGAACATGTTCCAACATTACGAGCTATCTACCCTCTTTTAATGAATAACTACACTAAGATTATTTAGAAATGTTATTCTAACAAAGCTTCTGTTATTTTCCATTTTCAAAATATTTTTAATAAACTTAGTCCTGTTTGAAGATCAATTTACAGTGCAGTTCAGCAGATCAACCATTTTAGAACCATCAAAATTTCATTCACCTCATTAATTAATGGATATCCTCTACTCTCCTCTCTACCCACCTGTACTGCTTTAAGAGCCTCATATCCTGGCTAGCTATAATTCAGCTTGTTTTCCCCTCTTTTTTCCTTGGGAAATACAATCAACTGCAAAAATAACAAGAAGCAAAGTAAGATAGGAACAGGAAGAATGACTGGAGGTATTCAGAAGAAAAATCAAGGCAGCAAATATTGTTCCTGAGAATAATACTGTGATGGACTGCTTTGCTGTGATCCAACCTTAACAAACTTTCCTGCCAATTTAGCAAAATATCCTCAGCACCACCATAGCTTGGCTCACCAAAACTCTCACCAGTCGTGACAAGGTGTCAAAGTTCCCTATGGAGAGAGCTGACAAAAAGGTTTCAACCAAGGAAGAACCGCCATGCGTTCATCTCCCTGAAAGTCAAAAGTAAGGCTTTTTATAAAGAACTAATTAAACTCTAAACTAAAATTCACCCATTTTCTAACAGCTGAACCCGGGCCTTAAAATGGATTGAGCTTATTTAGATTCTGACAGAGAAAAAAAAGATAGCTCAAAATATCTTATTTACATTTCTCACATCGAGTTGGCAGCCATGCCCATGTAAGATGGCCCAATTCCACTTACTGCCTCTTGGTATCTGTAAGGCATTAAAACTTCATGCTTATCTTTTATGGCTCATCCAAAAGGAACCTGAGGTGCCTAAATATCAGATGAAGGGAGACCTATAAACGAAATGCAAAAAAAAAAAAAGCCCTTTTCCTACTCCCATATCTACAGAAACTAGAATACCCTGCAGGTCCCAACCAGTCAGATGCAGCATCACCTTTTCCACTTCTAACACACCTTTGAGAAGTGAAGCCTGCTTGTTTAAGGACATTATTCTCAATACCTTTTTCCCTCTCATACCAAGAATATTCAAGCTTATTTTGTGTGAAGTTCTCCCCGTAAATGTGGGGCTTTCTCCCCATTCTGAAAGCACTGATCTTGAGCAGGGGATACGTAGCCAGGCACGTTGGCTTTCCTCACCCACAACCACAACCCAAGCCCACACAAATTCAGGAATCGTTTTCCCAACACGAGCTTTGCAGGCACTGAATCTAATAGAATAATCCCATAAGAACATCCAAGAGCAGAAAGTGGAGAACTCTACGTCCAACTGAACTTGCAGAAGTTCAAAGTAATTCAATTACCCATTTGGGAATAAGGCCAGAACACTGGCCTTAACACCTTTAGCAGTTGAGAAAATAGCTCTGGACTCCTTAAGGATCAGAAGAAATCATGTTTTCCTCCCTCTACTTTG